AGCGCAAGCTCAAGCGGCGGTCCAAGAAGAAGTCGGCCAAGGCCAAGAACGCCGCCGGCGCCGCGCCCCACGCGCCGGTCTCCGCGCCGCCCGCGGCCGCGGCCGCCGCGCCGCCCGAGCCCTCGACGACGATCGCGCCCGCGGCGACGCAGCCGGTCCCGGCGCCGGCCGCGGCGGCCGCGCCGCCCCCGCGCCCGCTGCCCAAGATCCGCGTCTTCCCGCAGCTCTCCGAGGTCCAGAAGGCGCGCCTCCGCATGAAGGACCAGGAGCACATCCGGCGCGCGGCGCGGCTCCACGAGGCCGTCACGCAGGAGCAGGAGCGCAACGCGTTCCTGGAGCGCATCCAGGCCGAGGAGGTCCGCCGCGAGCAGGCCCGCATCGCGGCCGCGCGGCCCGTGCCGCCGCCGCCGAACCGCGCGACCGGCGCGGGCGACGACAGCGACGAGGGCTGGGAGGAGAGCGACGAGGACGATCCCGTCGAGGACCTCATCCACCGCGAGCGCATCCGCGAGCGCGACTTACTGCGGACGCCCGGCTGCCTCGCCCTCGGCCGCAAGGCCTTCCGCCTCGAGGACATGCCGCGCGTCACGGAGCGCGACCGCGAGATCCTGCGGCGCGTCCTCTACATCCTCCGCGAGGCCGAGCGGTTTTGCGCCGGCGTCCGCAGCGCACGCGTCGCGCCGTCGCCGGAAATTATTTGGGCCCCTCGGCGCGCGCGATTGCGAGCTTCGACGCCTTCGAGGGGTACTTCGCGGAGACTTCGACGTTTTCGCAGGCGCAACTGCGGCGAGCTCGAGGTCCCGCGGCCGCGGGAGTGGGCGAACTCCGAGCTCGGCGACACGATGACGACGGAGGCCATCCGCGCGCGCTTCGACCTGCGGCGCGACGACGGCGTCTTTTTTTGTGTGTTTTTCGCGCGTCTCGCGGACGACGTCTCGCCCGAAACGAGCCCTTCGAACGCGCGAGCGCCGTTGATGTGGTCCGTTACGCGTCGCAGGCGCCTCCAGCGCCTCTTCCCGAACCTCGACTTCCGCCTCTCCTGGTCCGTGCGCTTCAACGTCGTCGTCCAGACCATCGACGCGATCGCGCTCGACTCGAACCTCGAGCTCACGCGCGTCGACATGGAGGTCCGCCGCTCCACGGTCGGCGTCTACGAGGACTCGCTCGCCTGCCAGCTCCTGGGCCAGACCTACTACGTCCACCCGGACAAGACGATCAAGATCACGGTCGACCTCGTCGTCACGAGCGAGGTCATCGGCGCGTTCCCGCGTCCGCGACGGCCGTCGTTCCGCGCGCGAGATCGTCTTCCCTCGCAGGCACGGCCCCGGGCCGCGCCGAGGTCCAGATCAAGGAGCTGGGCTTCCACTTCATCGACCCGCTCGCGCCCATCGCGGAGAAGGAGATCGTGCCGCGCGTCCGCGTGTTCATCCCGTACCTCAACATCGAGGGCTGGATCAGCATCACGTCGCGCGGCCCCGCGTCCTTCTCGACGCGCCCCAGAGCTTCGTTCGACGCGTCGAGAGCCTCGCCCGACGCGCCCTTGGATGCCACAGGTTGGACAACGGCCACCTCATCGTCGAGCTCAAGTACCTCCAGGCCATGCACGTCAAGAACCGCATGCTCAAGAAGTGCTGCTACACGCTCTACCTGCTCGAGCTCGCGGACAGGCTCCGGGGCGAGGCCTCCCGCGAGACCCTCAAGACGGCGCGCAAGAACGTCGTCGAGGTCGGCTCCCGCGTCTTCGAACCCGCGCCGACGCGAACGCGTCGTCTCCGTAGGCCGAGGGCGAGTACCAGCTCGCGCTGTCGAACTACCGCCAGATGGAGCTCTGGTGCTTCTTCAAGGTGTGTGTGTGGGTTTGCAAAACCATCGATCGATCGCCGCCCCCTCCGCAGCTCGACATGGCCCTGCTCGCGCGCCCGACGCTCGCGGGCGTCATCCGCAAGTTCGCGAACGCGATCGCGCGCAAGGCCGCCGAGGCCCGCGGCGAGACCTTCGTGCCCACGCCCTACGACGAGACGGCCGTCGACGCCGTCGTCGTGACGGCGGTCCCGCCCGTCGCGCCCGTCGTCGCGCCGGAGCCCGCGCCGCCGGCCGTCGCGGCCATGGACGCGCGACGCCCGCGTCCGTCGTTTGCACTCGATTTTTGTTGGATTTTTTTGTTTCGTAGGTCGCGGCGCCGGCGGGGCCGCCGCTCAAGGCGCTCGAGGCCATGACGGCCAAGGAGTGCAACGCGGAGCTCGACGCCGCGGGCGTGCCCAAGAAGGGGCGGAGCGTCGCCAACACCACGATCGGCATCCTCCGCGACCTCGTGCGCCGCCTCCGCGCCGGCGAGCCCGCGGCGTCGCTCACGGTGCCGCGGAAGCCCAAGTCCGCCGAGGAGCTCTTCGTCATCGACAAGGCGGAGCAGCTCGCGTGCCGCGCGAGGACCCGGCGTCCGTCGACTTCGATCTTTCGCGCGCGGACACTATTCTCGTCGCAGGCCACGCTCGTCGCGGACGGGGCGAAGAAGGTCGTCTTCAGCACGGGCGCCAAGAACGCCAACGGCACGGACTACCTCAAGGCGCGCTTCCGCGGCCTCGGCGAGACGGACCCGCTCCGGCTCGAGTTCGAGGAGCTCGCGCGCCGCGACGTCGCCGCGGCGGCGGCCGACGAGCTGCCCGTGGACCGGCTCCAGCGCGTGCCCGACCCCGGCCTCGTGAACCTGCCGACGATCTGGCCGCGCATGCGGTTCCCATCCGCGTCGTGACTTCGGGGCGTCGAGCGCCGAAGGCTCTTTCCCGCGTTCAGGTACGCGCAGCCGGAGTGCGGCGTGCGCTACCCCTACGGCTCCAAGCTCGGCCTCTTCAAGGGCCGCGTCGGCGGCGGCGTCCGATGTTTCGAGCGATTTGCGTCCTTCTCGTCCGAGACGCGCGTCCGCGAGCGACTCGACGCCTTCGATTCGACGCCTCCGCCGCGCGAAATTTCCGCGCGCTCTAGTGCTTCGGCTGCTGCGTCTGGGCCCAGTGCGCCGCGCGGCCCGAGGAGTTCCCGAACCTGCTCAAGGCCCTGGCGACGGTCCCGCGCGTACGCGAAGCCGCGTCCTCGGGTTCGAGCGCTCGGACCGACGCGTCGTCTCGCGTAGGTCTCGCTCTACCTCACGGCGGTGCTCCGGCCCGCGCCTCCCGGCCCACGGCGCGCATCTCTGGATCGCGCCGCCGCTCGCAGGTCGACGTGAACGACATGGAGACGCTCCGCGCGCGCGCGCGTCGGACGGCCGCGTCCGTGTTCGGATTCGTATTTCGAGAGCCCGCGCGAGAACGAGGGCCTCGCTCCAGGGTCACATTCTTCACTCAGGCATGTGCTACCGCGTCATCCGCGACGCGAAGCGGCGGGCCGGGGCCGGAAAGCCGCGGGCCGAGGACGACGAGTGCCCCGCGTACTACGGCGTGGACTACAAGGAGGAGAGCGGCAAGTCCGTCTGCAAGTTCACGGTCCACGAGGGCACGAAGACCCTGCGAGCGGCGAGCGCTCCGGCGGACCGTCGGCGTTCCCGCGTCGAAATTCTTTTTTGAGACGCACCGGACCCCGCGGCCCGCAGCGCGCTTCGAGGCCTTCGGCCACAACGCCGGGTCCCGCGGCAACACGCTGAGCCACCCGACGGCCGTCGCCGTCTACCGGCGCGATCTCGGCGTCCTCAGCGCCGCGCTCGCGCCCTCATCGCCCCTCGCAGCGAGCGCCTCGAGCGCAAGAACCGCATCGCCGGCGGCGCGGCCGCGGCGTCCGAAACCCGTCGTCGACGTTCGAAACCCGTCTCGCGCGTAGGCATCGCCGTCTTCAACTTCCCGTGGCACCCCTACGCGCGTCGCCGGCGCGCCCCGCGTCCTCGTGTCGTCACGGTGTCAAATCGTAGGAGGCGCTCCGGTCGCTGGAGAACGCGTTCTCCGAGTTCATGCCGGTACGTGGCTCGTCGGCCGATCCCTCGGTCCGACGCGCGCCCTTCGCAGGAACGCTTCTACGGCATCGACGATCGCGGCCGCTACCAGGGCAAGGTCGCGGCGCTCGCCGTCGTCCCGGGCTCGGGCAGCGGCAGCAGCGGTCTCATCGTCTTCGGCCTCTACGACTCCAAGGTCGAGGTCGCGCCGCCGCGTCCCCGGAGTCCCGCGCGGCGACGGACCGCGACATCTTCTAGGCGGCGGCGCACTTCAACATCGGCACGACGGTCATCGGCCAGATCGTCGGCCAGCGGCTCCGCTGGCTCAACGACCCGATGGACCCGGGCGCGTCCGCCGCGTCTCGTTTCGCGAAAACGCGTTCGCGACGCGCGACCCCTCGCAGAGATCGCCGCGGTCAAGGCCCTTTTGCTCCGGCGTCTGCCATCGACGTCTCCGCGACGTCGCCAGCGTAGGTCTCCATCCAGGAGAAGCACCGCATCTCCGAGGTCGTCGTCGCGCGCATCGAGGAGTACAACGTCGCGCGCGCCGAGGCCGAGAAGCCGCTGCCGCCCCTCCACGTCGCGGGCGCGTCGCGGCGTCGACAGCTCGCAGTCGTTTCCGAACTGAACGCCAATCACAGGCCTCGAGCGCTACAAGGCCGACTTCGCGCTCCAGCTCAAGGATTTGGCGTACGTCGAGGCCGCGGACGAGGCCTACCTCCGCGACCAGGCCGCGGCGTTGGCGCCGCCCGAGCCCATGCCCGACGGCTCGCGGCCGCCGATCGACGCGCACTCGCGGCGCGTCGCGCGCGCGGGCCTCGCGAACACGTTCGATCGCATGATCGAGCGCCGCCGCGACCGCGCCGCGCGCGAGCGCGAGGAGGCCCAGGCGCGACGCCGCGTCGCGTTTTTGACGATGATTTCGTGACTCGTCGGCCCCACGCAGACCGCCGCGTCCACGGCCGCCGTCGCGAACTACTACCGCGACCCGTGCGGCCTCCTCGAGCCGCGGGCGCTCGCGCCGCCCGGCCAGCCGCGCCGCGTCGCCAAGCTCTACGTCGTGCCCAACGGCGAGGTCGTGTCGCCGCCGCCGCCGCCGATCTACCACGTCACGGAGAACGGCGAGCGGCTCCTCGTGCTCTACGCGACGCGCGTGCAGCGGCCGCTGATCCCCGCGATCCAGCAGGTGCACAAGCAGCGCGCGGAGTTCCTCGCGCTCTTCGACGAGTCGGAGGTCGAGATGGCCGCGGCCATGTTCGACTCGCGGCCCATCGAGATCGCCCGGCCGCTGCTCTTCGAGTCCGAGGAGGACGCGGAGCGCCGCGCCGAGCCGGCCGCGCCGAAGCGCAAGCGCAAGTCGCGCAAGAAGAAGCGCAAGGTGCGCGCCCTCTTCCCCGTGTCCTTTTCGAACCCGATGATCCCTCATCGCTCGCAGGCCGCCGCCGCCGCCGCCGCCGCCGCCGCCGCGGAGCGGGGCGACGAGGCGGCGCCCGCGGCCGACGGCGCCGCGGAGCCCGCGGCCGCGCCCGAGGCGCCCGCCGAGGCGCCCGCCGCGTCGCCACCGACGGCGCCGCCCGTCGAGGCGCCCGCCGAGGCGCCGGCGCCGGCCGCCGCGCCGGCCAAGAAGAAGAAGAAGAAGCGGTCGCGCCGCCGCGGCCCCGCGCCG